ATGCTGGTTGATGTGAGTCCAGTTATGGTCGTGACTTAACAGTCAATTGATGTAATTTCATTTGTTTAATGACGTGTTTTCATGAGAGTATGTGAAGACGGATGTGGGCTTTAGTGTTCCTGATTCGCAGTTGCATAACCCTTGACAAGGTATCTGCAAATCAAATGGAGAGGTATTCTGCAGATCAAGCTACTACAAATCACAGTGCATGTTTAATCCTAATTTAGATAAATATTCTGTTTTAACCAGCAATTCACTTGTTCTTGAAGTCGTGTTGGTGAATCTTAAGACGACAATTGCATTAGTGCATGCAGAATTGATTTTATGGTAAGAGACGTGCTGTATATGCCGCAAAAAGCGATGAGTGTACAAATTGCATCCATTTATTAAATTCGTCAGAGCAACCACCAGTTGCATTCGTTTAGCACAAGATAATTGTCCTGGGCATCAGCAATACAGTCAAATTCCCCTGTGAAGAAGATACATATAATGTTATCTTGGCAAATCGTCTCAGTTCTACTTACTGGGGTTAAATGTAGAAGCTCACTTTATTCTTGCCTGCATGAACTTGAAAAGCACCTTCATAATCAAGTACCTGGCTGATTTTACAATCGGCAGATCATGGTGGTTACAAGCTCCTAGTTTCGATGAAGCCTAAATTTACTCTTGCTGCCATTATCATAAATTTCCAAGTATATTTACCAGATAATTAGATCGTTTACACCATTGTTAATTTCTAATCTTAAGGATTTTTAGAAACCGCGACGCGTGTTATTTATGCAGGACAAATATTAGCCTCCATTTGCTGCAGGAGCTAGTCTAACTATCAGCCGTAATGATCCGAATTCGGGATAACCATAACAGACAACTGCAAACAAGTCAAATTATCTTGTTGGCGCTTTTTAACGCCTTCTCTGAGAGCGTTAACAAGTGGATGCTTCTCCTGGGAAATCACCTCAATGTGCACTCACTAACTCTGATTACTCTGAAACCAGATCTCAATGCATTGTTTATTTAACTGCAATAAAATTCTGATGACCAGGCCTATTTTTGACGTCAGGAAATAAAGAAGTCTCATGACCACATAGTAGGTGGATGTCACAATATCCGTAAGTCGACCTTAATTATAAGGGGCCAGCCTTTTCACTGTTGTCAGTGATGTGCCTTAGATGCAGCCTAACCGTCATTGAATGCAGTAAATATCAATGCATACACTAATCGAAGCAAGGATAATTCAACATATGACTTGTGCAATCAGTTTGAAACATGAATCCACCGATTTGTTGATTTTCATAACCAATCACGCTTTCGGCTAATCTACTACATTTTCACCTCGTATGTTTAAAAAAATCCCCGAGCTCGTAGTTCTAACCCCTTGTTCGGCAGGTAGAAGGCTGCCCACTACAAATGCACACATAAGCTAGTCGGAAATTTCAATGGTTATTAAAAACAGGTTGTAATTGTTTGACCGATGATATCACAAGCAAAGTCAGGACAATCGAATGAATAATTAGACATTGGAAATTGCCCACCGTCGTAACAAGGTAGGTAGTGTAGCCACGCTAACAAAAATCCTGACATCCTCTTACTTAGAAACAGGCTGAGCACCTTTAGTGTGGCGTTATTCGAGCAATTATAATCGTCCTTATATCTGACTTTCAGTAGTTGGCAATTTTAATTGAAATTTGGCATCCCTTTCAGTTAACATTTGCGTTTTATAAAAAATACTTACATTGAAGTAGTTCTGGGCACAAGCTGGAAACAATTCATCAGCATTTGGTTTAATTTGAACTACATTTTGACCTCAGCACCATGGAAAATGTAGATTTAAAAAATTTAACAAGTTGTGGAAAGCAAATCTTTTAAGGCCAACAAGTTCAACCAAAACGTCCATTCCAGTCCATTTGCAAGTGACACATTCCGTGCGCAAGCTTTTATGCCGTGAAACACAACATCACTTTAAACGCAGAAGTTAGTTGACGTAGCTGTCCCATATACTGACATTCGCTAGCATCGCCACAACCCAGCAATACGGAATGCCCTTCACGAACACCACGTGGACTAATTTACAAGTGTGGAGCTGATGTGTGCTCTCCTCGGTACCACCCTTGACAGTGAATTCAATGCGTACTCACTCATTGAGAAAGACATCATCATCTAGACAGTACAATTGAAGAATGATTCATGCAAACGAGAATTAAGCATCTCGGGACAGTTTGGTCAACTTTCCCAAGTGTAGGCTTCAAGAAATGCAGGAATGCCAGTGTCGATTATGAAGATGGGCTTCAGGATGTGCCACAAAGTTGCTGCAAATTACATTAGCCTGGTTCAACTACTGCATTAACAGCTCGTCACATGCTGCAAGAACCTAATTCACACGCGTAAACTGCCAATCAACCCTTACTCAATGTATTGCATTTTTTGTTAACTCACGTGCAGCAAAAAGGACATCTCCAACATTGCTTCAAAGAATTGCGGTTAATAACTCACTGAATGCCATTAAAATGTCTAGTAAAATGGGACTCATCTAGCGAATCTTCCTTGATTCACACTTCTACGACGTGCAGCTGATGCCATTACTGCTCAGTAACTTGTCAATTGCATGATGTCACTAACCTCTCTAGTCTATCTCGGATATGTTGAAATCTAGCATTAAGGTTGAATAATTTGTAATTTAAACGTATTTCAGATACTTTCTTATGCCACCTTTCCAATCCTGCTTGCCTCGAATCAACCATCCCTGACCGATTTGGTGGTGAGTGTGCTAATTCATTAGATGCCTGATGTATATCGTGTGGTTGGTCGCTGCTGAATTGTGCTCCACTCAAACAGGTGAGCGGTGATTGGACAGGCTCGACTAACACTTCG